CAAACAATTCTCCTACCTCAGCCTCCCGAGTAGCTGGGACTATAGGCGCGCGCCACCATGCCCAGCTAATTTTTTGTATTTTTTAGTAGAGACGGGGTTTCACCATGTTGACCAGGATGGTCTCGATCTCTTGACCTCATGATCCACTTGCCTCGGCCTCCCAAAGTGCTGGGATTATAGGAGTGAGCCATCATGCCCGGCCTCTTCCCCTCCTTTTATGAGGATTTTTAATCCTAAGGATTCCAGAGATCCAAAGATTCGTGTTCTATAACTTTTTCAGGCTGTATAGGGGCGATGGTATTCCTGCCTATTGAGGTGTCTTGCATTCACGGTAGAGAGAAACTATCAGTGTTGGTGTGGTGAAGGTCATTCATAACCTCGAGTTCCCAAAAAGGTGTTATCTGGAAGACTAATAAGTGTCCAATTTAGGAAAGCATTTAGTGAGTTTGTCTTGCATTCCTACAAAAAGAGTGCAACCACAATATATTCCATAACAGCAAAGCAAAATTAGTAAAATTGTTCCAAGTAAACTAAACAAGAAGGCTTTTCAAGAACTGGGCAATTGTTGGAACCAAGCTGATATAGGGTTGGCCGAGAGTGCATGAGTGGCAGAGATATGATGAGTATCTAAAACTTTTATAGCCTGGGTAATATAATATGAATAGTTTGGAGCATACACATGACATGTGGTTTTGATCAAAGCACAAGTCCCCTATTGGGCCTTTGTCAAAATGTTTACCTACCCAACAGTTTGTTTATGTAGAGAGGATGAAGTCTGTGCCCAATCAGTAAATAAGTTACTCTTCTCATGATCCCAACATATACCCAAGAGTGCACCCAAAACTTGAAACTTTTCAAGTTTTCAATAAGACCCAATTTCCTAGTCGGGTTGCAAAATTATCTTCCTTAGTTGGGGAAGGGAGTTTTGACTTTCATATTCAGAGTGTGTTTTGCACTTGTCACATAATTGAGCAGCTTAAAAGTATGTGTCTACTATTAGAAGGTCTACAGCTAAGAAAGCCCTTCCATCAATTATTTCAAAAGGACTCGGGCCAGGCATGGTGGCTCACACCTGTAATCCTAGCACTTTGGGAGCCCGAGGCGGGCAGATCACCTGAGGTCTGGAGTTCAAGACCAGTCTGACCAACATAAAGAAACCCCATCTCTACTGCAAATACAAAATTAGCCAGATGTGGTGGTGCATTTCAAAATATGTCACAGGGATGCCTGTGGGCATGGCCCAGGCAGGTGCCTCTCATCCCTTAATGTCAGACCCAGTGATATGTAACAATATGCAAAATATGCAAGGTCCAGTCAAAAGATGAGTTACATCATCTAGGTGGTGGATCCAGTGATACATCACAATTCCCTGTGGCAGGGTATAGACTGAACAAGAGTCACATTACTACCTAGCTGATCAATGAAAAGATATTTCATAATATTCTTGTGGTCAGGCTTATGTAGAAGACTCACATCACCTGGGTGGCAGACCCAGCTATATGTCACAATGCAAAATGTTTTTAGGGCCCAAACAAGGAAAAAGAGTCCCATCACGTAGGTGCTGGGCCTAGTGATAAATCACAATCCCTGTTTGGTCAAAGTCTAAGCAGTAGAAAAAGTCACATCACCTAAATGCTACATCCAACAACATGTCACAATACCCCAAGAGGACAACCCAGGAAGAAAAGTCGTATCACCTAGGTAAAAGGCCCAGAAATATTTTATGATGCTATCTTTCTGTAGGCCTGAGAACCAAAATGGGAGTAAGATAATGTAGGAGCTGGGCCCAGCTATATGGCACAATCACTACAGTAGGCAACAACATGGCATGAAAGAAGTCACATCAGCCGGGCACGGTGGCTCACGCCTGTAATCCCAGCACTTTGGGAGGCCGCGGCGGGTGAATCACAAGGTCAAGAGATCGAGACCAACCTGGTCAACATGGTGAAACCCCATCTCTACTAAAAATACAAAAATTAGCAGGGCATGGTGGCGCAGCCTGTAGTCCCAGCTACTCAGGAGGCTGAGGTAGGAGAATTGCTTGAACCCAGGAGGTGGAGGTTGCGGTGAGCTGAATTCGTGCCATTGCACTCCAGCCTGGGTAATAAGAGCGACACTCTGCCTCAAAAAAAAAAAAAAGAAGAGTCACATCACATAGGAGTTGGGCCCAGCGATATGTCACATTTCCTACTGTGGACAGGTCCAGAAAGATAAGGAGATGCCAATAATTTAGGCCATTGACCCAGAGATGTCACAATGACCACTTAAGCAGGAACCACGCAGAAGAGTCACATCCCCTGTGTGCTGGACCCAGCAATAAGTCACTCTGGCTTCTGTTAGCATGACCCAGGCACAAAGATACATTACAATCTAACCTATGAACAAAGTGAATATAACAGAGGAGAGTCACATAAAATAGCTGATAACAGAACTCACATCATCTAGATATAGGACCCAGCAACATGTCACAATGTCTTATGTGGCCAGGTCCCAAGAAAAAAAAAGTAACATCCCTTTGATGCTTAGTTCAATAATATTTCACAATCTTTCCTCCAGAAAAGACTAAGAAATAAAAATCAATTAAGCTATATGCTGTGAAAGGTCACAATGCTTCCTGTGAGCAGAAACCAAGTAACACAAGAGTCACATCACCTGTGGGATTGCTGCGAAAACATGACAAAATGCCTTCTGTAGGCAAGGCGCAGGTAAAAAAGTTACCTCACCTGAGTGTTGAACCCAGCAAAATGTCACAATGGCCCAAGTAATGAAATCACAGGCAGAAGAGTCACAAATTGTCAGCGCAGGGCCCGGTGAAATGTCACCATGTCCCCTGAAGGCAAAATCTAAAAGAGTCACATAAGCTAGTTGCTAGGTATAGCAATATGCTATAATTTTCCTGTAAGAAGGGACTAGGCAGAAGAAGAGAGTCATATTACCTGGGTGCTGGGCCCAATCATATGTCAATCATCTTTTCTATAATAAAGACGCAGATGGGAGAAACACATCCTCTGGTCACTGACCACAGTGATATGCCACAACTTTCCATGTAGGCAGGGTGCAGGCAGAAGAGTGTCACATCTTTTAGGTGACAAATGCAGAGATATGTCACAATGCCCCCTTTAAGAAGGGTGCAGGTAGGAGACTCCCATCGCTTAGGTGTTAAGTTCACTATGTCATAATACCCAAATAAGCAGAGTCTGAGAATAAGAGGAGAGTCACATCACCTAGATGCTGGGCCAGTGATGTGTCACAATCTCTCTGTGAGCAGGGACCAGGCAGAAGGCAGTAACATCACCATGGGGATGGACATCAAGTTATATCACAAGGTCCCCTGTAGGCAAGCCCAGAAAAAAATGTTCTATCATCTGTGTGTTGCATCCAGCAGTATGTATCTGTAGAGAGACAAGAGTAGCCCACCCCCTCTGGGGGAATCAGCAGCAAGGCTGCTGTAAACTTTGGGTGAACTCCAGAGAAGCAAAACCATAATAGGGGAATATGTATGTCTCAGAGAAGAGCAGAGGCCAAGAAAAAGATAACCAGCTCTCACTGATCTTGCTGCAAGATAGTTGTTAGCTGATGTATGTTAATTAAAGTGTGAGAATTTTAACCACAGGCTGTCCTAAGTAACTGCACCCTCCCTCTGCTATGTGCTTTGTGAACATATAAAATAAAGTACTCTGAGGCAGGTTGGGGCCAAAGAGACTGACACCATCAGCTTTTCAGACCGCCTGGCTCAGCTTTACATATGTCTGTCTGCATGTCTTTCTTTATCCCCCGCCATGCCCTCTTAGGTCTTCGAATCCTTGTGCAGGGTGGGACGCAGCACACGTCAGATATATCAATGTCTAATGTGATATACTGTGCCACAATATGGCACAACACGTGAGGCACATTTGGAAGAGTCACATAACATGGGTGCAGTATTCAGCAATAATTGACAATACCCAGAATTTGTGGGGTTTTTAAAAAAAGAGGAAAGTCAAATTACCAAGGTACTGGATCCAATGATATATCACAATCTTACCTTCGGACTGAAACCAGGCAGCAAAATCAAATCACTCAGGTGCTGAGCACAGGCATATGTAACAATCACATCTGCTGGAAAATCCAGTAATGAAGTAACAATCCCACACCGGTCCCAGTTCTAGGTATAAGAGTCATCACATTTTCTATGATGGGTCTAAGTTATATCAGAATTGTAGCATATATAGCAATAGTGACGATCTCTACAATTGGATTGGTGCATGAGAACCTGCATTCCTCCTGTAAACTGTGTTCACTCTGGCCCTGAGCCCAGGTAGAATTTTCATGGCTTCAGATAGAATTCTCACCTGTCAATGAACAAATAAATGATGATTCCAATGCTAGCTGGATTTTCACATATGACAGTCACAATTTCAGCAGTGGACTGTGTCTGTGTGAAATTCAGGGCCTCACCAGAGGGTTCTGCCAAGTGTGAGGGTGACAGTTCTAACAATTGCTGGCATGTGCACATGAGAACTATAATCGCAGCTGTGTGCTGAACATTGGAATTATACCTTCTGTACCATAATGGATTTATATAGTATGCAAGAAAGTAGTAATTCCCTATGACTTTGTAAAAAAAGGAGACACAGGATTATAATCATTACCCTAGGTTTAGTTATAAAAGCATCAGCTGGGCACAGTGACTCATACCTGTAATCTGAGCACTTGGGGAGGCTGAGGCTTGTGCATCACAAACTCAGGAGCTTGAGACCAACCTTACCAACATGGTGAAACCCTGTCTCTACTAAAGATAGAAAAATTAGCCAGGCGTGGTGGCACATGCCTGTAATCCAAGCTACTTGGGAGGCTGAGGCAGGAGAATCACCTAAACCTGGTAAGAAGGCTGCAGTGAGCTGAAATAATGCTACTGCACTTCAGCCTAGGTGACAGAGACTTTGTCTCAATAAAATAAATAAATAAATGACCAAAAAAAAAAAAAAAGGATAGCATTTTTTAAGATGGTTTGAGGTATGAGAGCCACCATGTCACCTGTGAGCTAGGCCAAAATATATTTTACAATCCCACCTGTGAATAGGCCGAGAGAAGGAGTCACATCACCTGGGCTTTTGGCCAGGAATACATCACAATCTTTACTGAGGGAAGGGACCAGACAGGAGTGTCAAATCACTTTAATACTCAGCCAGGAATATGTTACAACCTTCTCCTGAAAGCAGGACACAGGCAACAGTCACATCACCTGGGTGCTGAGCCACGTAGCAGTGCTTTCTATGGTCACGGCCCATGAAGGAGAGACACATCACCTGGTATCTGGTCCTAGTGATAATCAACAATTTTTCCTGTGGGCAGAGTGCAGGCAAAAGTAAAGAATCACTTCTCCTAGGTGACTGATGTAGAGATACATCAAAAGACCCTCTGTAGAAAGGGCCTAGGCAGAAGCCTCTCATTTTATAGGTGTTGGGCCTACTAATAAGTCCTAACATGCAAAATATTCAGAGCTTTGGAGAAAAAAAAAGAGTCACATAACCTAAGTTCAGAACTCAGCAATATGTCACAATGCACCCTGTGGGCAACACCAAAGGCAAAAAAACCTGACATCACCTGGGTGGGAGGCCCAGCCACGTCACCCAGCTGTGGGCTGCACCAAGGTTGGAAAAGAGAGTCACACCTTTGAGGTGCAGAGTCAGGAGATATGTCACAATCTCATCTGTGGGCTGGACCAAGGCAGGAGAGTCAAATCACTAAAATGCTTAGCAAATACATACAATCACACCTGAAGGAAGGTCCAGTAATGAGATTAGAAATTCCATACATGTCCCCGTTCTAGATATGAGAGTCAACATGTCCTGTACGTTGGGTCTAAGTACATAAGGAACAACACAATAGCTAACAGAATTTTTACAAGAGTCACAATTTCTTCTGCACGTTGCATTCTTCCAGTGCTGTCACAGCCTCATGTGTGTGCTGAATTTTGGTCTGAGAGTCACCAGACCACTTGTGGACCAGGCCCATATGTGAGAGTCAATTCTCCAACTTTCATCAGCCTCCATGTGTGAGATTCAGAACCTCAGCAGTGGGATATGTTTATGTGTAAGAAAGACAATCTTTATTGTTGCCTAAATGTGCATTCAAGAGACACTATCTCACCAGTGTGCTATGTACTCCTATGATACTCCCTGTGTCACCTGAGAGCTTTATACAATATGCAAGAGTGGTAATCCTCTGTAACCTTCACACAAGAAGGAAATCCAGAATCTTTTCTGTGATTCTAAGCCCAGAGTCAACATCTCTAGTCCAGATAAGAGAGTCCTTACCTTCCTATGAGCTGGGTTTAGAAATGAGTCACCATGACAACTGTGGCCAGATGTTCACATATGACAGTCAAAGTTCCAACTGTGGTATGCATTCATGTGAGATTCACGACCTCACCAGTGGATTCTGTCCACGTGTGAGTGTGACAATTACAAAGATTGGTAGGGTGTGCATGTGACAAACAGAATCTCATCTGCATGGTGGACAGTTATGACTTCTCTGTAACACACTAACTAGGGCTTTATATATGTTACAGAATGGTAACTCTGTATGACTTTTTACAGAAAGAAGACTCAGGATATTCTTTGTTATTTTCTTCTAAGCATAGCTTTGAGCAACATGATCTCTTCTACTGGCTTCTTCGAGGTATGAAAGTCATCAATACATCTGTGTGCTTGGCCAAGTTATGTCACAACTCCACCTGTGTAGAGAACAACCATGAGAGTCACATCAACTGTATGCTGGGCCAAGGTTATGTCACAATCTTCCCCGAGAGCATGCACCAGGCAGGAGACTCACATCACAGGGTTCTCAACCAGAGATGTTACTATGCTCTCCTGAAAGCAAGACACAATTTCTGAAGCACACCCCAGGCAGTAGCAGTCACATCACCTAGGTTCTTGGTCCAGCACTATTTCACAATACCTCTGAGGGGAGGCCAAGGTAGAAGTCACATGATCTAGGTGAGAAGTCTAGAGATATGTCACAATGTCCCTTGTGGGTAGGGCTCATAAACAAAAAAAGAGACATAGCCTAGGTGCTGGGCTCAGCTTTATGTTCCAGTCATCTCAGTGGGAAGAAGCCAAGAATAAAGAAGAGTCACATCACGTAGGAACTCCAGAAAGTGGCATATCATAATTCCCACTGTGGACAAACCCCAGAAGAAAAGAGTCACATCATCTAGGTGGGAGGCCCAAACATGTTATCATAGTGACTCCTGTGTACAGGGACCAGGACAAATAATTACATGCCCCAGAAACAAGTCACTCTTTATTCCGTGGACATGGTCAAAGCAGAAGAATGTCATATCACCTAGGTAAAAAGCTTTGCCCATAGAGATTGTAATAGGTCAAGAAATACATCACAGTCTCCCAGTGGTCCAGGCAGAGGACTCACATCATCTTAGTGCTGGGCCCAGCAGTATGTTTCAATGCTTTCTAAGGAAACAGCCAAAGCAAAAAAAGTAGCATCACATTAGTGTTAGGCACAGTCATATGTCATAATCTCTTTTGTGAGCAGAACCTTAAAAAAAGAAAAGTGTCACATCAGCTAGGCACTGGGCCCAACAATATGTCTCAATACACCTTGTGATTAGGGAACAGGCAGGAAAAGTCAGTCACATTTTCAGGGTAATTAGTGAAGACATATATTACAATGCCCTCTGTAGACAGGTCCAGGATGAAGCCTTACATCACCTGAGTGTTGAAATCAGCAATGTTACAATGGCACAAGCAAAAGATTCAAATAACATAGACCCAGCAATATGTCACAATACACCTGTAGGCAGCACCAAGGCAGAAGAGACATCACCTGGGGGCAATGACCAGCAATATGTCACAATGACCCCTGTTGGCTGTTTCAAGGCAGAATAGAATCACATTACCAAGGGTCTGGGTCCAGCAATACGGCACTGTGAGCTGGACCAGGAAAAAGAGACAAATAACTTAAAAAAAAAAAAAAGAGACAAATAACTCAGAGGCTGGGCCAAGGCGTATATCAGTTACACTGGTAGAAATGTCTTGTGATGACACTAACAATTACACACATGTCCTGAGTCAAGGGATGAGTCAACACCTTCTGCATGTTGGATATAAGTACAAGGGTTACAGTCTCCATGGTGGACTGGATTTGTGCATCAGAGCCTCAATTTCTCTTTTTTTTTTTAAATGGGGTTTCACCATGTTGGCCAGGCTGCTCTTGAACTCCTGACCTCAGGTGATCCACCCACCTTGGCCTCCCAAAGTGCTGGGATTACAGGCATGAGCCACCGCGCCCAGCCCCAGAGCCTCAATTTCTTTAGCAATTTATGTGCCTTAGGCTGGGCACAGTGGCTCACACCTGTAATCCCAGCACTTTGAGAGAACAAGGTAGGCAGATCACTTGAGGTCAGGAGTTCAAGAGCAGCCTGACCAACATGATGAAACCCATGTCTACTAAAGATACCAAAACTTAACCAGCATGTTGCTGGGCACCTGTAATCCCAGCTACTCAGGAGGCTGAGGCAGAATTGCTTGAGCCCAGGAGGCAGAGTTTGCAGTGAGCCGAGATCATGCCACTGCACTCCAGCCTGGGTAACAGCAGCAAAACTCCATCTATAAATAAATACATAAGTAAATATTCTCCTTAGTAAAGTTACAGTCAGAAAGGTGTGCTGAGTTTTGGTTTAAGAGTCACTAACCCGACTGTGGACAAAATCCATAAATGAGAGTCAATTTTCCAACATTCAATTGCCTCCAAAAGTGAGATTCAGAACCTCAAAAATGGAGTGTTCATTTAAGTGGATGACAATCTTTGCTATTGACTGGGTGTAAATATGTTTCACAATTTCACCTGTGTGCTTGTCCCTGTAAGGGCACTTTCTTGAGGACTGTATATGGTGTGCACGAGAGCTGCAACCTGCTCTGAAAACTTTGCACTGCTCTGGCCCTATTATCTTATGTGGTCAATATCTCATCAATTGACCACAGAGGTCCAGAGAGGACAGTCCTCAATGACCTATGAGCTGGGTTTAAAACTGAGTCACCATCTCAACTGTGGCCACATGTTCACATATCATGGTCACAATTTCAACTGTGGACTGCATCTGTCGATGAGAATTATGACCTCCTCAGGGGGCTTTTTCCATGTGAGAGGATGACAATTCTAAAAATTGGCAGGGTGTGTTTACATGAAACACAATCTAACCTGTTTGCTGGGTCCTATGATAACATGCTCTGTACCATCCAAGCGCTTTATACAATACACGAGAGAGTCGTAATACTCTATAACCTTAATACAGAAAAGAGACCAGGATTTTACATTTTTTTCTTTTTTTTGAGATGGACTCTTTTATTCTTTGTAGGATCCACCTGCAGCAGAGATTGTAACATACCTCTGGGTCAGCAACATGGTGCTGTTACTCTTTTGCCCTGGGCCTGCCCTCAGAAGGCACTGTAACATATTCATGAGCCCAACACCAAGGTGATGTGTGTCTCCAGCCTAGACCCTGCCATCAGGGGGCATTGTGACATATCTCATGGCTCATCAGGTGTTTGATGTTATCCCCTCCCCTCTTTTGCCCTGTGTTTGCCTATAAGAGACTTGGTCACATGTTCCTGGGCCTATCACATAGGCGATGTCTTCCTGAGACCTGTCCATATGGGTATTGTGATAGATCACGTCGCCCAGTACTTACTTGATGTGACTTTCCCCTCATGCCTAGGCCTTGCTCACAGGTATGATTGTGACACATAGCTTGGCCTAGCCCCTTGGTTATGTAACTCTCCCCTTATTCTCCATTCATTTTGACAGGGGGCATTGTGACATATTGCTGGACTGAGAACCTTGGTAATGTGACGCTCCTCTACTGTTGGAATTGTACCCAAAAAGAGAGTTTGATATATTGCTTGGCCAGAATCCTAGGTGATGTTACTGTTCTGCCTAAATCCTGCACACATTATGAATTTTGACATCACTGGGGCCAACACCTAGGTGATGTAACTCTCCTGCATGGTCTTTGACTACAGGGATATGATGATGTATCTTTTCATTCATCACCCAGGTGGTGTGACTCTCCACTTATGCCTGCGCCTCGATGAAAGAGGAATTGTGACGTATCCCTGGACCTAGCACTTAGGTGATGTAACTTGCCTTTATTGCCAGGATATGGAATATTATGAGTATTGTGACATATCTCTGGGTCTGACACCTAGGGGATGAGATACTCCTGCCTGGGCCCTGCCTACAGGAGGCTTTGTGGCATGTCTCTGGCCTTATTACCTTGAAAGAGGTGACTCTCTTCTACCTGCTTTCTTCCCACAGAGAAGATTCTGACATCACTGGATTCAGCAATTAGAACATGTTTCTCATTCTAGGCGTGGTGGCTCAGGCCTGTAATCCCTGCACTTTGGGAGGCCACGGCAGGCGGATTATGAGGTCAGGAGTTCAAGACCAGCATGGTCACCCTGGTGAAACATCTGCACTAAAAATACAAAAATTAGCTGGGCATGGTGGCGGGTGCCTGTAATCCCAGCTACTGGGGAGGCTGAGGCAGGATAATCATTTGAACCCGGGAGGTGGAGGTTGAAATGAGCTGAAATTGCACCATTACACCCCAGACTGGGTGACAGTGCAAGACTCTCAAAAAAAAAAATGAATGAGCCTTTCCCACAGAAACACTGTAACCCATCCTTGGGCTCAGGACCCAGATGATAGGACTCTGCACCTGTACCTTATCTACTTAGCGTATTGTGAAGTATAAGTGGTTTTAATACCCAGGTGATGTAACTCTCCTGCCAGGCCACTGCCTTCTAGGGATATTTTGACATATCTTTGTACCAATCACACTAGTGATGTGAATCTTTTCATCTGCTTGGTTCTTTTTCACTGGGGAATAATATCTGTTGCTGCTTTCAGCACTGAGCTAATGTGACTTGTCTCTTCTTCCTAGATTCTGCCCGAAAAAAACCTCACATATCACTAGGCTCATAAGCAAAGTTATTTAGCCTGGCCCTGCCCTTAAAAAACATTGTGACATATTGCAGTGCCCTGCACCATTATAATTTGTTTCCTGCCTAAACCCTGCCTACTGGAGGCATTGTGTCATATCTCTTGGCTCATCAACTATTTGATGTGACTCTCCTTTCTTACCTGGGCTTTGCCAGTAGTAGAGATTGTGACCTATCTCTGGGCCCAGCACCTAGATGTTGTAACTCTCCTCCCCTGCCTGCTCCATGCCCACAGAAAAAAAGTGACTTATCACTAGGCTCAACTCACAAGTAATTCAATTTTTCTGCATGACCCCAGCCCACATGTCTTATTGTGACATCTCTAGGCCTCCCAATGTACTGGGATTACAGGCTTGAGCCACTGAGCCCGGTGGAGTCATCTGACTTTTCATTAAAAAAACAGGTCTCTCTGTATCTAAGCTGGACCTGGTGACATTTTTGGAGGGAAGGAAAGAGCCCTGAACTGTGAAGAGAGAGGGGACCGTGGCCTAGCACAGCCAGGTAAGTGGGAGTGACAGAAGTAGGTGTGTTGGGTGAGAGGTCCAAAGATCAAGAAGCCAGATTTTTTTTGTCTTCCATTATTTTATTATATGTACGCAGATCTGTTTTATGTACAACAATTGATTCTATCAAATAATTAAACCAAGGCGTTCTACTGGTAATTTTCCCACAAATCAATTCAAGTAGGGCTAGATATTTATGCACTTTACGGGCTATCAAAACTTGAGATTTCATTATTAACTTCAGTTCTGAGGCCATAGATACAATTCAAAATATACATTAACTAGGTTAAGGTGATAAAAGTGGGCTCAAAGAAACCACAGGATTCAGAACAATGAAACCATGTATTTTGTTTACATGAGAGTCACAATGCAAACGCATGTGAAGCTCTTCTGTGTTGAGGGAGCAGCTTCTGAATATCTAAGGTGATTGCATAGCAGGTGGGCAAACAACTGTTGTGGCCTCCTGGAGGCTCAGCCCTGGGCTAATTTCTTCTCTGCCTCTGCTTTTTTTGTTTTTTTTTGAGACGAAGTTTCGCTGTTGTTACCCAGACTGGAGTGCAATGGCACGATGTCGGCTCACCGCAACCTCCATCTCCTGGGTTCAAGCAATTCTCCTGCCTCAGCCTCCAGAGTAGCTGGAACTACAGGCGCGCACCACCAGGCCTAGCTAATTTTTTTTGTATTTTTAGTAGAGACGGGGTTTCACCTCGTTGACCAGGATGGTCTCGATCTCTTGACCTCGTGATCCACCCACCTTGGCCTCCCAAAGTGTTGGGATTATAGGCGTGAGCCACCGCGCCTGGCCTGCTTTTTTAGGTTTATTTTTTTTTCTTTCCTGGTTTTTTTGACACTGGGTCTTACTCTGCTTTCACCCAGGCTGGAGTGCAGCGGCACAATCTTGGCTCACTAAACCTCTGAATCCTGAGTTCGAGTGATTCTCGTGACTCAGCCTCTCAAGTAGCTGGGATTACAGAAGTGTGTCACCATGCCCAGCTAATTTTTTATATATTTTTTAGTATAGATGGGATTTTGGCATGTTGGCCACACAGATCTTAAACTCCTGACCTCAGGTGATCCTCCTGCCTTGGCCTCCCAAAGTGTTAGAATTACAGGTGTGAGCCACTGTGCACAGCCTCCTTTCCTATCTTCCTAATTTTTGTCTCCTTTTCTGTCTCTATATCTTTCCCTCTATCTGTCTTTGTTTCTCTCTCCCTCCTTTTTTTTGGTTGTTGTATTTCTCGCTTTCTCCTTTCTCTTTTTCTCTTTGTTTCTTTTTATTTTTATTTTTTTCTTGTAGAACTTGGTTCGTTTCTTCCTTCCTTCCCTTTCTTCCCTCCCTCTCTCCCTCCCTCTCTCCCTCCCTCCCTCTCTCCCTCCCTCCCTCTCTCCCTCTCTCCCTCTCTCCCTTCTTTCTTTCTTTTCTTTCTTTCTCTCTTTCTCTCTCTTTCCCTCTTTCTTTCTCTCTTTCTTTCTTTCTTCTCTCCTTTCTTCCTTTCCTCCTGCTGGCTTTACTTCCTACTACATGAGCATGTTATCATGCCTGGCTAAATTATTTTTTATTTCTTATAGTAGAGATGGGGCCTCACTATGTTCCCAGGGTTGGTGTCAAACTCCTGTGCTCAAGCAATTCTCCCATTTCAGCTTCTCAAATTGTTGGGATTATAGGTTTGAGCCAGCATGCTCTTCCTTCTTTTATTTTCTTCTTTTTCCTTTTCATTTTTTTATTCCCCTTTCTCTTTCTTCTTTCTTTCCTTCCTTTCTTTCTTCATTCTCCGTTTTTTTTTTTTCAAGATGGAGTCTGTCTCTGTCGCCCCAGGGGTGAATGGAAGCTTGAATTCTTAGATGCCCAAAGGACAGCTTCAGGTGCCAGTGCCACACGTGGTCTGCAGGGTGGACCTGGTGGTTTCTTGGTTATGCCGCCGGGTGACCAGATGTGGGCTGTGAGCTGTGGCCAGTAGTCATGCCTGCTGGCCTCTCGTTTGGGTGGCCCAGGGATTGAAAGCTTAGGAAGGAAGGTTGGTGGACTTAGAGGATGGCCATGGAGGTGGGCTGTCTTGGGAGGAATAAGGTTCCAACAGAGACAGCTTCAGGCTGCTAGCGCCACACGTGGCCTATAGGGTGGACCCGGTGGGCTTCTGTCTCCACCACCACTGACTTCTCTTTCTGGTCACCAAGTCTATAGGATGTTGGCCACGAGCGTTGGACTTGGTCGTCAGTTTGAAATGTTTAAGGTGAATCTGATGGCTCTCGCTGGGGCAGTACTGCTTAGGTCCAGCAGAGGAGTTCAATGATGGCTCACTGCGGCTTCCACCTGTCTGAGCTCATCCAGGCGATCCTCCCATTTTGGCCTCCCAAATAGCTGGGGCTCTGGGAATTTTTTTTTTTTTCTAGCCCCACATTGAGTTTGTTTCCACAGTACATTGAGTTCTGTTGGTTTTTTTTTTTTCTTTTCTTTCTCTTATGTTCCTTCTTGTACATTGAAGTTGTTCTTGTTTTAGATTTCTTTCACCCAGGCTAAAGTGTGGGTGTGTGATCACAGCTCACTGAAGCCTCAGACTCCCTGGGCTCAGGTGATCCTCCTATCTCAGACATCTGGCTTCCCAGTAGCTGGGACTAATGGCATGCACCAACACACCGGGGCTTTATTTTGCATATTTTACTTTTCATTTTTGTAGAGATTGGGTTCCATCATGTTTCCCAGGCTGATCTCAAATTCCTGTGGTCAAGTAATATGCTGGCCTCGGCTTCTCAAAGTGCTGAGCTTACAGGCATAAGCCACCATGACTGGTTTGTTCTGTTTGTCTCTCTCTCTATCAATCATTTATCTTTTTTTTTTTTTTTTTTGAGACGGAGTTTCGCTCTTGTTACCCAGGCTGGAGTGCAATGGCGCGATCTCGGCTCACTGCAACCTCCGCCTCCTGGGTTCAGGCAATTCTCCTGCCTCAGTCTCCTGAGTAGCTGGGATTACAGGCATGCGCCATGTACCCAGCTAATTTTTTGTATTTTTAGTAGAGACGAGGTTTCACCACGTTGACCAGGATGGTCTCCATCTCTCGACCTCGTGATCCACCCGCCTCGGCCTCCCAAAGTGCTGGGATTATAGGTGTGAGCCACCGTTCCCTGCCCTCTATCAATCATTTATCTATCTCTTTTTCTTTTTTTTAAGTACAGACATGGTCTTGCTATGCTTTTTGGGTCCTGGTCACATATGTGTGTGTGTGTGTATATATATATATATTTTTTTTTTCTTGAGATGGAGTTTCACTCTTATTACCCAGTCTGGAGTGCAATGGCACGATCTCGGCTCACTGCAACCTCTGCCTCCTGGGTTCAAGCAATTCTCCTGCCTCAGCCTCCCGAGTAGCTGGGACTATAGGTGTGCACCGCCATGCCCAGCTAATTTTTGTATTTTTAGTAGAGACAGGGTTTTACCTTGTTGACCAGGATGGTCTCGATCTCTTGACCTAGTGATCCACCCGCCTCGGCCTCCCAAAGTGCTGGGATTATAGGCGTGAGCCACCGCGCCCGGCTATATATATGTATTTAAAATTTTTTTTTTTTTTTGAGACGGAGTTTCACTCCTTACCCAGGCTGGAGTGCAATGGCGCGATCTCAGCTCACCACAACCTCCGCCTCCTGGGTTCAGGCAATTCTCCTGCCTCAGCCTCCTGAGTAGCTAGGATTACAGGCACACACCACCATGCTCAGCTAATTTTTTGTATTTTTAGTAGAGACAGAGTTTCACCATGTTGACCAGGATGGTCTTGATCTCTTGACCACGTGATCCACCCTCCTCGGCCTCCCAAAGTGCTGGGATTACAGGCGTGAGCCACGGCGCCTGGCTAATTTTCTTTTTTGAGATGGAGTCTCCCTCTGTTACCCAGGCTGGAGTGCAGTGGCGGGATCTCAGCTCATTGCAACCTCCGCCTCCCGAGTTCAAGAGATTCTCCTGCCTCAGGCTCCCAAGTAGCTCTGACTATAGGCATGTACCACCACACCTAGCTAATTTTTGTATTTTTAGTAGAGATAGGGTTTCATCATGTTGGCCAGGATGGTCTCAATCTTTTGACCTTGTGATCCACCCACCTTAGCCTTTAAAATAGCCTGAGTGCTATTTTAAAGCATCCAGAATCAGCTCTGTATAATTCTCAGGTGGAAAAGTCAGTGACTTAGAAGCATAGTTGGCAAACTGCATTGTGTGAAACAATAAATTGGAGATCTTGTTGAAATGCAGATTCTGATTCAAGAGATGCAGGTTTGAGCCTATGTTTCAGAATTTTTGTTGTTGTTGAGACAGCCTCACCTATTTCCCATGGTGGAGTAGAGTAGCACAATTTTGGCTCTCTGAAACCTCTGCCTTCAGGGTTCAAGCAATATTTCTGCTTCAGCTTTTTGAGTAGCTTGGATTAGAGGCATGTGCCTGTAAAAGTTCATGGAGAATAAGAAATTGAGAGTAGTATAGAATTTACAGGTTTATAGCATTATAGCAAGAACGGCAAAAAAAAAAAAATTTTTTTTTGAGACAGTCATCTTCTGTCACCCAGGATGGGGTGAAGTGGAGCGATCTTGGCTCACTATAACTTCTGCCTCCCAGGTTTTAGTTCTTCTGTCTCAGCCTTTTGAATAGCTGGGATTGCAGGTACATGCCACGAAGCCTGGCTAATTTTCTTTATTTTTGGTTTAGCAGAGATATTTCACCATATTGGCCAGGCTGGTCTCAAACTCCTCACTTTAAGTGATTCTCTGTTTTGGAGGCCCAAATTACTGAGTTTACAAATGGGAGCCACTATGCCTGGTAACAATCTTTCTTGGGCTACACTGACTATATACTAAATTTTATCCTAGCAATTTTTTTACATATTAATACACAATGCCACAAAATAATTTATGAGAGAAATAATATCTGTCCCCTTTTATGAAAATATTTTGGGCCAGAAGCAGTGGCTCATGCCTGTAATCCCAGCACTTTGGGAGGCTGAGGCAGGTAAATTACAAGGTCAGGAGTTCAAGACCAGCCTGGCCAACACAGTGAAAGGTTGCAGGCAGAGGTTGCAGTGAGTTGAGATCATGCCACTGCACCCCAACCTGGGTAATAAAGTGAGACTAGGTCTCAAAAAAAAAAAAGAAAAGAAAAGAAAGTATTTTGCTGGGAGTGGTGGCTCACGCCTGTAATCCCAGCACTTTGGGAGGCCGAGGTAGGTGGATCATGAGGTGGATTGAGACCATCCTGGTCAACATGGTGAAACCCCGTCTCTACTAAATATAAAAAAAATTAGCCAGGCATGGTGGCACGTGCCTGTAATCTGAGCTACTTGGGAGGCTGAAACAGGAGAATTGTTTGAATCCAGGAGGTGGAGGTTGCAGTGAGCCGAGGATGCCCCATTGCACTCCAGCCTGGGTAACAAGAGTGAAACTCCATCTCAAAAAAATAAAATAAAATAGAGTCTTCTAAGATTGCCCTGAGTGAAAGTCTTATCTCCTGAGGAAGGACTGGGAAGATGAGCTGTAGGACCAACTCACGATTGCAGCTCGCAGTGAAGGTGAGTGGACGCCGCATTTCCATACGGATCTTTATTGCCCACAGACTAGGAGATTCCCAGGTGTAAGAGTCCCACGGGCTGCCAGCGCAAGAGTTTGGGCTGGCGCGGCTGTTTGGGCCAAGGCCACAGCACAGCGACATTCCGTACAAAATACACTGATTTGGTTGCCCTGTTAAACAGGCAATTGGAGATTTCGGAAGGCAGATTAGCACATTCATCTGATTAAACGGAACTTAAGCAGAAACCCAGGCCAGGAGATTCCCGGGCAGCAACGTGGTTTGAGCCGGCGCAGTGGGTCTCTGCACAGGAAATCACACAGATCCCAGCGCCCTTGCAGCAGGCAACTGAAACACCTGGGAGAGAGTCAACCGTTCAACTTAAAAAAAAAAAAAAAGGGGGGGCTCTGAGGCAAGGAGCCAGCTGATCAGGCTCGGC